GAAAGATAAAATAAGTTTGGTTCAAATTACTGGGGAATGTAATGTAACATGGGTGTAACCAACCCTTATGTAATGTTATGTAATTTCTGGCTGATATACTATTTAATTTGGATTTATTATTTTAATGCTATTTTATTATGGATACTGGTTAGTTGAAAAACCAGACACTTGTGGTATAAACAACTGGTAGAAGAAACTGGGAACTAAGTGGGAAAAAATTTCCCCAGATTTTACCTTTGTAACATGAGTAAAAAAGTTAACAAAATTAAATCCAGAGGAAAGTGAATGAACATTTTCATAAATTAACCTCATGATTATATATCTTGTGGTCAAAAGTTGCCATATAACAAGAATAGCAGTTTAATGAATAACATATAAGTCCAGTGGAGACAAAAACATTGAAAATGGCTATAAATGTAACATAACGATGGGTTTGCCCTGCATAAACTCTCTTTTTATACATAATATTAGTAATTGATTTAGTTTTTTTCAAGATTATTTCAAATTTCTGATGGAACTTAATGTAGATGTTCCCCTTTGCTTATAGACCTTTGATCCACAGCTCGTTAAACAGTATACATATATTTTTTTATGGATAGTGAAGAAGTGGCATGAATCATTGATATAGTGTTGTGATTAGAGCTGGAAGATTAAGCAGTTATGTTGGAATCTATTTATATCCTGAAAATAATCAATTGATAAAAATTAGTGTTTTTTTTTCTACTGTTTGATTGCTCCAACTATCCAATAATCAAAATTGTGATTGAATCAATATCATGAAAGTAGTTAATCAAAATTAATGTTTCCAGTTATTACTGTTTTCAGCCTTTCCAATTTTCCAGTAATCAAAATATTGCAATTATGATTTCTAATTAATAGTCTTAATTAACTTAAGTTTGTTTAGCTTAACCCTTTAACCTTAGTGACAGAGGTCTTCCTGTAGTCACTGGTCAAAGGCCATGTCATCATTTTTGTAGACTCGCATTCAAGATTTTATTGAACTACTATTTTATGAATCTATGTAAACCAGTTTGTTATCAAATTGTATATTATAATTCAAATTTTAGTATTCTACATTAGTTAATTTCGAAATAAAAAAAAAGAAACCTAAATATTGATGTGTGTGTCACGTGGTAGGTTGAATGCAGCATTGGTTTAGATTAGATGTTTGTGATATCCAAATACAAAGTCTATAGTTTCTTATGAATTAGATTCTCAAATTCCTGATACTGACAAGCTAGAATACAAGATAAGAACCTCCTATCTTTTCTATTTTTGGAGATATTAATATATTTATTGAATCAACCAAGGTGGTCCCACCCACCCCTTCAGTTTTTGAAAATACTTGCTTACGTACACCTACTTCGCCCAACAATGTGTGTATAAGCAATCCAAAACTCAGAATGTCCCCCTAGTGGTTTTCTCAGCCTCTGAGAAGTATTTGCATGGGAAACTCTTTCTTTTAATGCTAGATTCCAAGCGGTAAGATAAGACATTAGTGAACTTGAAAAATCATTTTTTTCCCGACCCAAATACATCTTAGTTACTAAGCTTGATAAATTATAGTGAAATTCTATGATATTGATATAGTAATTTATG